ACTAACACAGGGAAACAGAGACTATCAAGTACCAACACAGGGAAACAGAGACTATCAGGTACCAACATAGGGAAACAGAGACTATCAGGTACCAACATAGGGAAACAGACTATCAAGTACCAACATAGGGAAACAGACTATCAGGTTCCAACATAGGGAAACAGAGACTATCAGGTACTAACATAGGGAAACAGAGACTATCAGGTTCCAACATAGGGAAACAGAGACTATCAGGTACCAACACAGGGAAACAGAGACTATCAGGTACCAACATAGAGAAACAGAGACTATCAGGTACCAACATAGGGAAACAGAGACTATCAGGTACCAACATAGAGAAACCAGAACTATCAGGTACCAACATAGAGAAACAGAGACTATCAGGTACCAACATAGGGAAACAGAGACTATCAGGTTCCAACACAGGGAAACAGAGACTATCAGGTTCCAACACAGGGAAACAGAGACTATCAGGTTCCAACACAGGGAAACAGAGACTATCAGGTTCCAACACAGGGAAACAGAGACTATCAGGTACCAACATAGGGAAACAGAGACTATCAGGTTCCAACACAGGGAAACAGACTATCAGGTACTAACATAGGGAAACAGAGACTATCAGGTACCAACATAGGGAAACAGAGACTATCAGGTACCAACATAGGGAAACAGACTATCAGGTACCAACATAGGGAAACAGACTATCAGGTACCAACATAGGGAAACAGACTATCAAGTACCAACATAGGGAAACAGACTATCAGGTACTAACATAGGGAAACAGAGACTATCAGGTTCCAACATAGGGAAACAGAGACTATCAGGTACCAACACAGGGAAACAGAGACTATCAGGTACCAACATAGAGAAACAGAGACTATCAGGTACCAACATAGGGAAACAGAGACTATCAGGTACCAACATAGAGAAACAGAGACTATCAGGTACCAACATAGAGAAACAGAGACTATCAGGTTCCAACATAGGGAAACAGAGACTATCAGGTTCCAACACAGGGAAACAGAGACTATCAGGTTCCAACACAGGGAAACAGAGACTATCAGGTTCCAACACAGGGAAACAGAGACTATCAGGTTCCAACACAGGGAAACAGAGACTATCAGGTTCCAACACAGGGAAACAGAGACTATCAGGTTCCAACACAGGGAAACAGAGACTATCAGGTTCCAACACAGGGAAACAGAGACTATCAGGTTCCAACACAGGGAAACAGACTATCAGGTACTAACATAGGGAAACAGAGACTATCAGGTACCAACACAGGGAAACAGACTATCAGGTACTAACATAGGGAAACAGAGACTATCAGGTACCAACATAGGGAAACAGAGACTATCAGGTACCAACATAGAGAAACAGAGACTATCAGGTACCAACATAGGGAAACAGAGACTATCAGGTTCCAACACAGGGAAACAGAGACTATCAGGTTCCAATATGGCTCTATCACAGTAATAGTACTGAGTCACATGATCATAAGACCACTACACTGCAGTAATATCATGTCAGGGCAAGGAATTGATTGCTCAATCAATCAATTTGCTCCACAACACGCCCGAAAGTCTCTCTTCTCAAGCAAGTTCTCCAGTCCCATGTACTTTCATAGACAATGCATCTTCATTGTCCTGTATCCACCTTCAGCCTCTGACTCATGTTCCGGAAACTGCACCTTCCATTCCTGTTCTCTTCAGACAGACCACCATGGCCAAAATACCCCAGCTTTCAGGACAGGGTGCTGTTTATAAGCCAATTCTCCTTGATGTTCAGATAATGCAGGATGTCAACATTTTCCTTCTCCTTGGTCTATGGTATTCTAAGAATGTTTATTTGTTGATCACTTACACTGCTGTGTCATGCTATGATATAGAGATGCGGTTGAGTCCGGAGTGTGGCTTAAGCATCAAAATATTATGTGAACTTTTGATCTATTTTTAAGACTTGCATCATACTAAGAAAATTTACCGCACAGGAGTTGAGTTTAGAATTGACGTCACAGCACTCATGGCATTCCCATGTGTGCTCCGTACTGGTCTTAAGCAGCCAGCGCAGAGTTCCAATACTGATGGTAATGGTCACAATCTGGTTATATGTCCGTCTTGCCTTTCCTCTGAGTGTAGTGAGCCGGCCAGTCCCTCTCGTTACACCCAGGTGCCTCATTCTCTCCAGGCCATAATAATATTGTTTTTCTACTGATTCCGTTGCATGATCCTAAAGGGCTTTGACCACATCTGCCGTGTCATGTATCAATTCACCACCCAGTGGTGCAGATCCAGCCAATCTGTCTGTTCATTACCCACCACTCCAGCATGGCCTGGAGAAAAGATCAAAAGTATCCTCACTACCCGTGACCTTCCCAGTGAAGCTTACCACGCCACGCTGCCCGAAGCATCCCTGTCTTTACCTTTCTCAGCATGCTTTCAGAGTCTGTAACAATTATGACATGTGTATGCATCTTGTTCTCTAGCCACTGGAGAGCTGCAGTTACCACACAGGACTGATCATTTAGCCTGTATTCATTACTTCACCGTCCTGTTGTGCCATTATGTCATATAGGGCTCGCAGTCTATTCCTGCATTTCCTTCTATCCCGTACAAACAACTCAATATTATGGATGGAATCTTGTCCAGCACCTTTTTTAGCATCTCTCAGCATTCATTTAAGGGTTTATTTTGGGTGTCCCTCCTTCCTCAATCACTTCATTTCCCATTTTAGCGTCTGTGCTTATTCTCTTTTCAGGATGTGTCCAATAGAGAATTCCCCCCCTCCCCCCTCTTTTTTAAAAAAATTAAATATTATAACTGTGGTTACCAGTAGCTGCCAGATATTTCTCTGTCTTCACCCCATTATATGTTCAACATTTTCCTCAGGCATTTGTTGTCAAATGTCTTTAATCTTTGTTCCATGTTTATAGTGGTACTTGCCTCCCAGTTCTGGCACCAGGCGAACAGCCTCTGCAGTGTTTGATTATCTGGCCACAGGTGGTCCAGATACAGTCAGTGAGTTTAAGAGTTACGTCCTACCCTTGACAGGACATCACCAACCAGCCAGTCAGTGAGTTCAAGAGTTACGTCCTACCTGTGACAGGACATCACCAACCAGCCAGTCAGTGAGTTCAAGAGTTACCTCCTACCCTTGACAGGACATCACCAACCAGCCAGTCCATTGGCAGTTGGAAATCGAAAAGAGTAACCTAATGGCACTGGCCAGGCAAAATTTGGAGTTAAAAATCTACCCAAAGTATTTCAGGATCCCTGCCGGTGCTAGAGAGCCTGTGCACTGTGCTGAGCTTCTTTGGGGCTCAGACTTGAGTTAGAGAAAGAATGGAGCACTTATGGGTTACTACCCGTTTGCCATGATGTTGATCCATTCTGCAAACTTCAGGAGCCGACTTCCAAGTTGGAGTACATCAGCTGGGGAGTCAAGCTATCAACAGTCTACACAAAATAAGCCAGGTGTGTGAAATGGAGGTGAATGAACTCCCAGAACTTTCCGCCAGACTTTACAGCCAATGAACACAAAGAAGAAGAAGTTGTTCTGGACAATGTTATGTGTCATGGTGGCCTGAAGAAAGCAGTGATGGAGGATAGTTTCCGAAAAACGAGGCAGAGGCAGACATCCCCAAAAGTGGAAAGAGGACACTAAAAATGCCTTAGCTACAAAAGCTCATAGAGCTGAAGAACTGTGCTAGAGATATTTTCAAGTGTGCCGTGACGAGAGCAACATTCTGTAATAGACCTGCTGTTTGATGATGATGAATAACTGCCATTGCTTTCTGATCGGCTGATGCTCCGCAGCACTTAAAATCAGTGCAAAGCAGTCTGCTCCAAACAACCATGCAGCTCAATTGATCCAGGTATTCTAGAATTGTGAAACACAGTTGTAACCCCTAACCCACAGATACTAAATGCCTTCAGTGATGAGTGCAGTCCATGAGTATCATTTTTTCAGCATTCTGAGCCCTTGAGTTTTTCACTGCTGCAGCTATCAGCCACCTCCATTCAACTGTGATTGTCTAATTCTTTGCCTGTATATTATCTCCCCAGCATCTTCTTGCTCTGACTTGTCTACTCCAATTCATTTTGTTTGTGTACACAATTTTCTCTGTGTTAACTGCCATTCTCTCTCCATGCCCCAACCACTGCAGTCTATTAGACCTCATGATGCTAGTAGTTAGTGGTCATTTAAACAGCTCTGTGGCTTAGAGGTTAGTGAATGCCATTAAGTGTCATGATCCTCGAAAACTAGGGTTCTTCCCCATGGCAGAAGGTTAAACAGATCATTCTCACAGTTTTCGGCCAATGGTGCCAGAGGTGCGCTGTGAAAGAGATTGGGGCCTGGCTAGGTAATATTCCCACAGTGGCAGACTGTAGCCAACCTTCATTGTGGAGATGGCACAGAATTTTAAATAAATGAAATTAAACAGATTATGCATTTCATCTTTGCTTCTCAGTTTCCATTCTAATGAGTATCACTGCAAAACACTTCCTGTGTGGGTCCCGGGGTCTCCATTGTGGGGAAAACAAGAACTGACCCACTGTCTACTCAAACAATCATGCTGTAAGAGTCGACTGATTGGAAGCTTTCTTTGAAATTGGAGTGCGTCTGCCCGATCGGCAAGGAACAACCAACTCACATACAGATAATAGGGTAAAACAGATGTACACCCCAAACTTAGGCCCTGGTATAAAGCCAAAGTCCAAAGTGATGAATAATTAAGACTTTCCGCCATAGTTCACAACTAGTTAAAAAAAAAAAAAAGAAGAAGAAAAAGATTTCAAAATAAATCTACTGGTTCTTTAACACCACTAATACATAGGCTTTACATGCTAAAAGAAACTAACACAAACAAAGATCTGTATGTGAAGTAAGTGGAATTTCACCCGCACATTCTAAAGTTCTAGTAACGCATAGTTTTTAGGAATGAAATTCCTCCCAGAAGTGAAAGTCTTGTGTCCTCAAAATATCGTGCTAGCTCCACTCTAGCTGCCATGACAAATCTGCTGCATGATGGTAGAGAAGAGTGCCATCAACTGTAGGTAGTCATCTGCTCCATCCAGAAGACACTTGTCCACGCTCTGTTAAGATCAAATATGAGTTTGCAAGTCACTTTCTAAAATTTATACTGGAGGGAAAAGTTGAAGGCACGCAAGCAAAAGCCAGACAGCGATACAAGTGTGATAACAAAAGATGGATGAACAGCAGCCTGACAGTGTACATCTAGGATGAAAGAACATGTTGGAGACCCATCGCAGCCAAGGTTGGAGATGGCACCTGATGTAAGTCATCATACAGATAAAACATTTTTCACCTAACCTCCCCAAGAGTGTGAAAATAACTATGGTTCCCAGGTCACCCAGCCTTGAGTGGGTACCAGGTGCAGTCCTGGGAGGTAAAGGTGGCCATTGTGTTGCTGACCACATCACACACTACGTGCCAATTAGTCTATAAAATACAGATCTAGCCCTATATGCCCGATACGCCCAATGAAAATGGTCCTTTGCTGGCATAGGATGTGAGCAACAGTAGCAAATCGAATGTCCCCTGGAAGATTTTGAGTTCATCAGCAGCAAGCTGGATGTTTTATAATTCACTGGCCTTCTTCACCTGACATTAACTAAACATAGCATTTAGAGAAGGTAGATAAATCATCATTATCATCATCATCAAGTGCATTGCCGACTGGTAGGGGCGATCATGCCTCTCCATAATCCACAATCTCCTGCAGCATGTATCAGTTCGTTTGCCGACACGCCTCCATGCCATGCCATGCAACAAGACTGTCAAGAATCTTCTCTCGTTGTCTTCCTCTGTCCCTCCTTCCACAGATCTTTCCAGTGGCCACAACATGTTCTATTTTCCCTCTTCTCATACCATGGCCAAAAAATGATGACTGTCTCCTTCTGATGTCTGTGATAAGTTGTCTTTTAAAACCTCTTGGTTGCTCTTTTTGGCTGTCCAAGGTATTCTAAGCATTCTTCTGTAAAACCACATCTCTGAGGCCTCAAGAAATTGTTTGGCCTGCCTAATGATTGTCCAGGATTCACAGCCATATGTTAAAACTGGATGTATGTAGCAAGCAAGAATTCTTTTTCTAACTCTCAGTGACAAGGATATATTGCACAAGATATTCTTCATTTTATAAAATGCAGGTAGATAAATACATTTTCCAAAAATTAATTATTGACCTAGGTAATATTTGCCTTTTAAAGGATTTTTTTTTTTTTGGATTCCAATAGGGTCAGGACGCCCTTTTTTTTTTTACAGTCTCCAGGTTAAGAGGGTTAAAAAAAAAAAGCTGTCTTCATTGCTAGTATTCACCACTTTTAGGGTAGAACCAAAAGTCTGCACACAATAAACCAAATCTATAAAACGCATGAGCACATAAACTCAAGTTCTGGATAAAGACCAAAGTCCAGGAATGGACGAACAACCAGAACTTTCTGCCAGAGTTTATAGCCGGTGAACACTAAGAAGTAGTAGTATCACAACAATGGGGAACAGAGGCAGACAAAGATGGGGCTCGAAAGTCTGGCATCATGACATGAATGAATATGTGTATTATAAATGACAGGCAGTACACTGACAGAAGGCTGTGCACTGACATGATCACTAACGCCACACAGCTTGGACTATAAGAAGACCCCTACAGCAAATACCAGAGACATAACATGTACATACATACATACCGCCATCTTCTCACAAATGATGGACTTCTGTTTGTCACTCAAATCCTCTTTTACCACAATTTTATCATGTAGCTGATTGAGAATCTGTGAGGCAGCAAAGCCTTCCAGCACCACGTCCTGTAAATAGAACAGTTCAGGGTTTCTGACAACAGACAGCGGTAAACAGAACAGTTCGGGGTTTCTGACAACAGACAGCGGTAAACAGAACAGTTCAGGGTTTCTGACAACAGACAGTGGTAAATAGAACAGTTCAGGGTTTTTGACAAAAGACAGTGGTAAATAGAACAGTTCAGAGTTTCTGACAACAGACAGTGGTAAATAGAACAGTTCAGAGTTTCTGACAACAGAGGTAAATAGAACAGTTCAGAGTTTCTGACAACAGAGGTAAATAGAACAGTTCAGGGTTTCTGACAACAGAGGTAAATAGAACAGTTCAGGGTTTCTGACAACAGACAGCGGTAAATAGAACAGTTCAGAGTTTCTGACAACAGACAGCGGTAAACAGAACAGTTCAGGGTTTCTGACAACAAACGCGGTAAAAGAACAATTCAGGGTTTCTGACAACAGAGGTAAATAGAACAGTTCAGAGATTCTGACAACAGACAGTCGTAAATAGAACAGTTCAGAGTTTCTTTTCGTTTATCTAATAACGTAATTGCTTTGTGTCTGTTTACAGCAAAGCTGTATTATTTGCACCTTTCAGCCAAAACGTCCAACTTCATCAAGCATTTGTTGACCAGGTTAACCTCCTGGCACTGTGAACTGTATATTGTGAATATATAATAAGATCTATCATGGATGTGCCAGGAATTTTGGTTGGTATGCTGATGACACCATCTTGATAGAGTTCTGTCAGAAAGAACTACATGGACTGATAGATACAGTGGTGGTTAAAGTAAGTTAGTTGCGTATCCTTAACAGGACATTGCAGAACCAACCCCAACATTTTTTTTTGGCTGTTGTGGTTTTTCTAGGCAAATTTACGTCCGGTAGTTTGCTACTGCTCTCTGAACAGTCAGCTTCTTGATACTGACTGACTGACTTTCTACCCAACTAGGACATCACACAAGCGATAAACACCTGATGACACAAAGTGCCACCATGTGGATGAGGATCGCTGTGGAGAGGTTCCAGAAACCACTTTCAGACAATTGGCCCTTTTATGGCCTGCCTATATTGCGGTCCCTGTCAAAAGCAACGATATGGCTTCAAATGACTGACTTTCTACCCCACCAGGACATCACACAAGCGATAAACACAATGTGCCACCATGTGGGTGAGGATCACCATGGAGAGGTCCCAGAAACCGCATTCAGCCTTTAGGTCATATTTTTGGCCAGGCTATATTGCGGCCCCTGGCAAGAGCTAGAGTAGTTGGATTGGCTTTTTACCCCACCAGGACATCACACAAGCTATAAACACCCGATGACACAAAGTGCCACCATGCGGATGAGGATCACCGTGGAGAGGTCCCAGAAACCGCGTTCAGACATTTGGCCATAATAATGACCTGCCTATATTGCGGCCCCTGGCAAAAGCCAGAGTGGGGCTTCAAATAACAAAAAATTACGTCCTAAGAAGGACGTAAGTCAGTGGTCATCATTTTAAAAGTAGTGCTTCGAAGAACTAAAAATTTCATACTTAAAAGGACGAAACGGCAGAATCAAAACTGACACTATGGCATTACAAATCTCATTCACAACAACTAAGCCAGACAGCAACAGTGGTGGTAAAAGGGATAAAATGTGCCTTAGCTGCCTAAATGCATAACAGAAGTCAAAGGTGTTATTTAAGAACAAAAAATTAAAGTTTCTAGGGCACGTCATGAGCAATAAATGGATATATAAAGGGTTATGTCCCTTGGAAGTATAGTCCATGTATATACAACATTTATGTCCCTTGGAAGTTGAAAATATTTTGGTCATATCAAGCGCCACGACGGATTGGAAAAAATTATAGCAGAAGGCATGGTACCAGGAAGGAGGGGCAGGGGCCGAACAACACGAAGATGGGCACAGGATATAAGTGACTCCTTGAGTATGAAAGTGCATGAGGCGGAACAGCTGGCGAGAGACCGAGTTTCTTTCAGGCAGACCATGATGAGAGCGACGTTCTGCTTTCAGATTAAGACTTAAGGGGGAAATATGTAAATCCAACCCCAGACCCATTGAGCCAGGATCACAGGAAAAGGGACTTGTATAACCGTGCAATGGAAGGAAACCATGTGGAGTTTAGGAATTATTGGTATGCTAGGCATAAGAGAACTCATGTGGTGATGGTGAACTGTGTGTTGATGTTAGAGGCAGTTTTACTCATGTGGTGATGGTGAACTGTGTGTTGATTTTAGAGGCAGTTTTACTCATGTGGTGATGGTGAACTGTGTGTTGATGTTAGAGGCAGTTTTACTCATGTGGTGATGGTGAACTGTGTGTTGATTTTAGAGGCAGTTTTACTCATGTGGTGATGGTGAACTGTGTGTTGATTTTAGAGGCAGTTTTACTCATGTGGTGATGGTGAACTGTGTGTTGATTTTAGAGGCAGTTTTACTCATGTGGTGATGGTGAACTGTGTGTTGATTTTAGAGGCAGTTTTACTCATGTGGTGATGGTGAACTGTGTGTTGATGTTAGAGGCAGTTTTACTCATGTGGTGATGGTGAACTGTGTGTTGATTTTAGAGGCAGTTTTACTCATGTGGTGATGGTGAACTGTGTGTTGATTTTAGAGGCAGTTTTACTCATGTGGTGATGGTGAACTGTGTGTTGATTTTAGAGGCAGTTTTACTCATGTGGTGATGGTGAACTGTGTGTTGATTTTAGAGGCAGTTTTACTCATGTGGTGATGGTGAACTGTGTGTTGATTTTAGAGGCAGTTTTACTCCACGAAGTCAGAGGAGCACCTGACTATACAACATTAGAGAGAAAGGATCAACCATGAAGAGTCCCTGAGACCTGATGCTGTCTTAAGCGTGCCACTGTAGGGCTTTATCAGTGAGCTCTGTTGACGTGTGTGAGTAGAGATTCCAGTCTGGATGTTGCCAGACTGATCTTCTGCAGCTGTGTCATGGTGGGTGATGAAATCAAGTGTTCATGTTGTCTGCATGAGTTGCCGCAGTAACAAAGTTCTAGCCTGCTGGGTTCCTGAGTAAGGATATCTCGAGGTAACGTGACAGGTCACAGATGGGAGGTCTGGATTGTTTTTCACAAGATATTGTGCATTGGCCTGGATGTTCTCTAGTGACAGAATCTCTCAAGTCTAGGGAGTTATCAGAGTGACAGTCACCTTAATCACAATGGTTGCTCTGTGAGATCAGGTAGTGAAAGCCCATAGCAGCCACAGAACAAAGCTGTGACAGGAGGAGTCCTTCATAGCAGTGTCTTGAATGTGTTTATGTGGCAAAAGAAAGAATTACTAGTCTTGTGTTAATCATATCTCCTGATGCAAACCATTTCATGATGTCTGTGTCTCTGAATACAGTGTAGTCTTTGGTGGTAGACCTATGTTCAGACTTGTCTGTTACTGTTGGGCAGGAGCTGATACCTGTGAGTCTTGATATTACTGAGTTAACCCTAGACCATTTAACAAGTCAGTGTGTTAGACAGGCCCAGTACAAGGTGTGTAGGCAGTCTGGACAGTGCCCATGTCACACGTGTTAACACCCAACGGAAGATGTATCACAAAGATTTAGAACAGGCTAAAACTGCATTTTATCAAATAATGAATATTTTATGCAATTAATCTATGTAATTAAAAAAAAAAAAAAATTCTCAATATGCTAGGCAGAGACAGTTTTAACATAGGGCTGTGAATCCTGGACAATTAATAAACAAGTCAAACAATTTCTTGAGCAATCGAAGATGCAGTTTTACAAAAGAGTCCTTAGAATTCTTTGGACAGCCCAAAAAAGCAACCTAAATGTTTTGAAAGAGGTGAGGGCTCAAAGACAACTTATCACAAACAAACTTTCATCACTTTTTAAGTCATGCTATTGAGAAGAGGGAGCTGTCGTGGTGAAGCGGCGAGACACTCACCAGCGAATCGGAAGGCTGTGAGTTCAGGTCCTGACAGAGCAAGACATTTATCAAAAATGACCCTGGCTCCCAGCTGGACCCAAGCTTCAGTGGGTACCAGTAGTCCTGGGAAATAAAGACGACCGGTGTGATGCTGACCACCTCAACCACCAATTGGTCTATAAAAATATAGGTCTAGCCCTATATGCTCAATACGCTTAAAAGTGTGGAAAATGGTCCCTTATTTTACTGAGAAGAAGGAAACTGGAACGTGCTGTGACCACTGGAAAGATCTGTGGGAAAAAAAGACAGAGGTAGACAATGTGAGATGATTGTTCAACAGCCTTTTCATCATGGCATGTTATGCAGTCGATTGTGAGCTGGAATTCAACTTGGTAACTCCTGGACCTGAGAAACACAGAAACCTCACAGCCACATACATGGCTCCCTACTTTCTGGACTAACCTGAACAATTTTATCCAAGTCTTCATATGAGTCTGAGGAGCATACAGCTATCAGGTTGTCTATACTCTCATCAGGGACTACCTGTGAACAGTGACAAATTCAGTCTGTCATTTAGCCCAGTGCAAGTAAACTAGATGTTGTTAGTTGCCTGGCATAGACAGTTACATATGTGTGATTGTTTCTCACTGATCTATTTATGAATGCCTGGCATAGACAGTTACATATGTGTGATTGTTTCTCACTGATCTATTTATGAATGCCTGGCATAGACAGTTACATATGTGTGATTGTTTCTCACTGATCTATTTATGAATGCCTGGCATAGACAGTTACATATGTGTGATTGTTTCTCACTGATCTATTTATGAATGCCTGGCATAGACAGTTACATATGTGTGATTGTTTCTCACTGATCTATCTATGAATACTTGGCATAGAATGAGATCAGAAATGTCGTGTGTCATTTATTGTTCTATGTGACCGCTTGGCCCAGAATGAGATCAGAAGTTATGTGTGATTCTTTCTCACTGTTGTAGTAAGAGGAACTACTTGGCCCAGAATGAGATCAGAAGTTTATGTGTGTGATTCTTTCTCACTGTTGTATGTAAGAGGAACTGCTTGGCCCAGAATGAGATCAGAAGTTATGTGTGTGACTTTTTCTCACTGTTGTATGTAAGAGGAACTGCTTGGCCCAGAATGAGATCAGAAGTTATGTGTGTGACTTTTTCTCACTGTTGTATGTAAGAGGAACTGCTTGGCCCAGAATGAGATCAGAAGTTATGTGTGTGACTTTTTCTCACTGTTGTATGTAAGAGGAACTGCTTGGCCCAGAATGAGATCAGAAGTTATGTATATTTTTCTCACTCCAGAAGTTACAAGTGTGTGATCTGTACTCATGCTTCTATGTGAGATTGCTTGGCACTGAATGAGATTAGAAGTTACAAGTGTGTGATCTGTACTCATGCTTCTATGTGAGATTGCTTGGCACTGAATGAGATTAGAAGTTACAAGTTTGTGATCTGTATTCATGGTTCTACATGATATTGCATGGCACCGAATAAGATTAGAAGTTACAAGTGTGTGATCTGTACTCATGGTTTTACATGAGATTGCAAGGCACTGAATGAAGACAGTCTGTGATCTGTACTCATAGTTCTACATAAGTGAGACAGCTTGCTAGACAATGTTCACAAATATGTTTAAAATTCTCACCCCAGCGATGTCATAAACAGTGTCCTGGGTTATAGTTCCTTCCTTGCCACACAATCTGGAGGCACTCTGCAGGAACATGATAGCCTTTCTCATGTCCCCCTGGGAGGTCTTCAACACTGCATTCACTGCCTGAAATGTTGTCACTCGCATTTATTAGTATTTTACCTTTATGGGATGTAGTTTGCATTATGTCACTGTAAACCAGTGTTTCCCAAACTTGTCTTGGTCACGGCGTCTTTTTTCAATTAACATTTGTCCACGGCGTCTTTTTTTCAATTAACATTTGTCCACGGCGTCTTTTTTTCAATTAACATTTGTCCACGGCGTCTTTTTTCAATTAACATCTGTCCACTGCGTCTTTTTTCAATTAACATCTGTCCACAGCGTCTTTTTTCAATTAACATTTGTCCACGGCGTCTTTTTTCAATTAACATTTGTCCACGGCGTCTTTTTTCAATTAACATTTGTCCACGGTGTCTTTTTTCAATTAACATTTGTCCACAGTGTCTTTTTTCAATTAACATCTGTCCACGGCGCCCTAACCTAAGTAAAAGTATGGCTATTCGTGTCTTGGTTAAATTAATTATAAAGCCTTTACAATATTTTGTGGCGCCCCTGTGAAAAGGTTGTGGCGCCCTTGGGCGTTCCAGTGCACAGTTTGGGAATCACTGCTATAAACTTTTCACCATCACAGGACAACCAGCTTCACTATAAAGAGGCCGAGTGAGGAAGTAACAGGATTCCTGTCGGCTCAGGAAAACAGGGTATACCTCGCTGGTTCCAAAAATAGCTGTTGTAGTGCATGGTTCATAGCAAAAAGCGAATAGACCGTCACTTAGTGCAACAAAGCCTAGCATATGATACCACAACATCTAGTCTGAGAAAGGATGTGAAGCCAGTCACTGCTGATTCTTGTCAGCTTGGGCAAGACATGGAAAGTACAAGACATGGACGGTACAAGACATGGACGGTACAAGACATGGATGGTACAAGACATGGACGGTACAAGACATGGACGGTACAAGACATGGACGGTACAAGACATGGACGGTACAGAAGATGGCCAAAAAGAAGACTACTTGGAGTGAGTTGGTTGAGAGCCTACACTCTAAGGTTGTATTTAAAAAAAGGGGGCCAAAAGGAATGCATTTTTTCTTGCATAAATGACAATGGATGTTTAGTATGCTAAACATACACCACCGCAGAATAAGAAAGTATGATGTCTGATACATCTCTCTAAAATGAGAAGTATGATGTCTGATACACTACTCTAGAATGAGGAAGTATGATGTCTGATATACTACCCTACAATGAGGAAGTATGATGTCTGATACACTACCCTAGAATGAGGAAGCATAATGTCTGATACACTACTCTAGAATGAGGAAGTATGATGACAGATACACCACTGTAGAATAAGGAAGTATGATGTCTGATACACTGCCCTAGAATGAGGAAGTATGATGTCTGATACACTACCCTAGAATGAGGAAGCATGACGTCTGATACACTACCCTAGAATGAGGAAGTATGATGTCTTATACATTACCCTACAATGAGGAAGCATGATGTCTCATACACTACCCTACAAAGAGGAAGCATGATGTCTGATTCACTACCCTAGAATGAGGAAGTATGATGTCTTTTTCATTACCCTAGAATGAGAAAGCATGATGTCTGATACACTACCCTACAAAGAGGAAGCATGATGTCTGATACACTACGCTAGAATGAGGAAGCATAATATCTGATACACTTTCCTAGAATGAGGAAGCACGACATTCCCATAATGCCTCTTTTAAGACATAGGCGATCAAATACGTTTACTCCACCCTTCACTGGTCGCAATTTAGTATATTTGTGGAAGAAAAATATAGCAAAAAATTAATAAAATGATATGTATTGTAACTGAAGATCTGATAAAGAAAAAACATACAATCAATAGTTTATTCATTAATTTAAAAAAAAATGTGGAAACAAAACTACATAAAAATAAAAAAACTTATCTGAAAGATAAAAAACTACATCCAAACACAACAGACAACAATTAATACCAACATACAAATTACAGGCACCAAGTTTAAAATAGATCTCCCTGTGTGGATTCCAGGGCCCCATTGTAGAGAAAACAAGAACAGACCCACTGCCTTCCCAATAAGCATGTCGCAGGAGCCGACTAACTGGGAGCATCCTTCAATGTCGGAGCACATCTGCTTGAAAGGCAAGGAATTAACAGTCTGCGTACAGACTGTACATGCAGATATGCATGCAACACTCAGGTTCTAGAGCAAGACTAAAATCCGCAGGTGGACGATCACCTAGTACTTTCCTTTAGGAGTTTACCGCTGGTGAATGTGAAGGCACACACACAAAAATTTGTAATTTACATTAAAAAACATGTTTGGCTTCCATCAAATTTCACTAAAACTGATAACATTCTTACCGTGTCTGTGATGTCCATGCCTTCTTTTTCACAGATCTGCTTTAGCCTCGATGAGAGGATATCTTCGGCCAAGGCCTTGAACCTGAACTTGGCACATCTGGATGTGATTGGTTCAATGATACGGGTGACATAGTTGCAGATCAGGCAAAACCGTGTGGTTTTGGATTCCTTTTCCATGGTTCGCCTCAAGGCAGACTGACAACAATAGAGGCAGAGTAGTGTTGATAAAGAGAATACACTAACATACTATAAAAAGAAAATGGCAATCCAGTTCATCAGAAGTGAACAGAGTCTGGCCAGAGAAGACTACCACTTACTTGACCAGCATGGGCAGGTCATTATTCAATGCCTCTAGATAGGCATGCGTAACAAGCATATGTACAGGCTTCATCTAAGTAGTTCACCATCGTGCCCTTGTAGGTTGTGTGTGCAGACTACAGAACATGTCCTGCAAGAGTGTCCCTTGTTCAGTCCATTAGGAAGAGAATTCTAGTCCACTGAGTCAACACTGTACTCAAAGTTGTATGGAACCAAAAGGAACTCCTAAAAAACAGTCAAGTTTATCACAAGAACTTGTCTGTTGGTGTAAATCAGAAAGCAAACACAAGAAGAAGAATACAGCAGGTTACCAACTCTCTCGATACCCGGCAACTCAGTATGAGTTTGGTGGTTTCTACTAATGTTTAATATTGAATTAAGAATCAATATCACATTACTCAGGACATTCTCATAAGCGCTCCGTCCCATCTTCAGCAGGAAGTGCAGAGATCCAATTCCGATGGTACCAGTAGAATTATTATTGTATATCCATTTCATCTTTCCCTTGGGCGTTAGCCAGATCCTCTCAACACTCCTGCAGCACCATTCTCCTCAGACTGTGTTGATCCATCTGTGTTTCCTCACCGTTCACTCGCTCCCAAAGGGCCCTTACAACATCTAGCTTGCATGCATCAATTCAAAGTTGTACATAAGCAGCCAGTCTCTCTGCCTGTATATTCCAACACATCAGCATCGCCTAGGAAAAATATCCTAAGGACACTTAACTACCTGGGATTTTTGAAGCGATGCTTACCACTCCTCACAGAGCATACCACTCTCCACCTTGCTAAACATGCTCTATGAGTCAGTTTCTACTGAGACGATCTACTTTTATGCACTCCTTAATATCTACCCAGGTGTTATACACTTATTCACTTGGCCCAACTTCTTACTTAACTCCTACTGTCCCATAGTGCTAATATTCTAACTCCTTGACAAAAACATTGATTACTTAAAGTAAAAATGTCTCAATCCTTTTTTACCCCGAGAAGAAATCTATTCACTTTTGTTTGTGACATATTCCCCATGTTTAATGCTTTATCTGTTTATTTAAATGGTATATCCTAAAACACTGTTAAATGTAGATGAATAAATGTTTAAAAATTGTTTATTAATGGTGTGTAAAATGGTTGTTTTATGGGTGGGATTGTAAGATTTCTTTGGGAATTCCTGCCACCTTTTTTAAAGGCATCTACAAGATGAAATGATTGAGACAGAATGGGTTAAAGCACCATCTACCAGATGAGTTAATAAGCTACAATTCTTATGGCCATGCTTGCCTGCTAGAGCAGTCCTCAGGGTTAAGTCCCTAGCAGAAGCAGCACACTGTCTTTTTTTTGTTTAGGTTTGTTAAGCACCATTCTGGGGTTCATCTGCTTTTAAAATAAAATGGTTACTAGAAAATTTTCATTCTACAAATATTTTGGCCAAACAAGATCATAAATGAAGAACTGAGGAGGAAAACAGAATGTGCATCACTGGCAAATGTTATCAAAGTAAGACGATGGAGATGGCTTGCAGAAAGCCTCGTGACACTGACAAAAACAGCTCTCCGGTGGACAGCAGATGGGAAAAGGAGACGTGGACGACCTAAGGAAACCTGGAGAAGGACAACAGAATGGGAAATGAAGGAATGTAAACTGACACGGGATACCATGGGCAGAGAAGCAGCAGACCGGCAGCAATGGAGATCACTTGGAATGCCTTTTGTGTCAACAGCGACATGAAGAGGATGTAGATAGAAAATGTTCAGAATTATCTGTGAACTGCTGGGAGCGAACAGTGATACAGAAGGGAAATGGTTACTCTACCTTGTATGTTGTGACCTAGCATGATGGCTGACACCTAATATTCCAATGAGAGTAACTGCTATCACAAAATCTTAACACTTTGGTTATGATTTTCTGGCATGAAATAAACAAATGGACTGTTGACAAAATAGCAATCAGAATGTTCTCACCAGCATTTTAAAAACAAAATTTTTAACTCTTACGCTAAAGGTCCATATGATAATGCTGGCTTTTAAAGATTTCCCAAAAGAAACTAGAAAAGGCCGGCATAAACAGGTCACAATTGCAGTACAAATTATTTAGTCTAGCAGACTGATCAAATATAATTCTGGAGAGAAGATTATTTGGTAAACTGCAGAAAGGGGGCTTGCAAGAGTGCAACAATTCTATAGAAATTATGCTACTGTCAGTGTCTAAGACAATAATGACAGAAGAGGTAAGACACTACAAACATTATTAACATGTGCCAGCACAATGTAGAAGAAATCAAATAGTATGAAAGAATCACTAACAAACAAAATTCCAATGAATTAAGAGTTGAGGAAAAGATGCTGACACTTGTTAGGACACACTGAGAAAAACCTAATATAAACAGAAAATATCCTTACACTGGAACCAACAAGGCTAAAGAGATAGAAGAAGACCTATTAAACAGAAGCCATATGGACTAAAAAAATCAGACACTTACCTGTGCATCTTTGGTCATTGAATCTGCCTCATCCAAGATGATAATTTTGAAAGGAGGACATGGTTTTCCACTGAAACATTATCTAAAATGTAATTCCTCATTCACCTGCAGCTTTTCAACAATATGCAACAATTTAAATAAGAACACAAACAATATATTGCTTAGTACAGGGTTTGTAGCCAATTTCACCATTTTTCAAGGGTTTTCAAGGAATCAAGGGTCACTACCTGTTGGTATATTTCCCTGTATCTCATCAGGGTCCTCACCTGAGAATTTATATCAACCCATAATTGTTTTTCTTCTTTTAAACTGTCTTTACATACCACTTTTTAGGGTGATGAAAGGGGAAGGAGCACTGGCCTTGAAGGAAACACTCCTAAGTACAATATGCTTGTTAGGGAGCTCATGGGTCCGTTCGTTCTCCAAAATTGAGCCCCAGAACCCACACAGGGAACCGAGGATTTCAACTTGTGTCTCTCATCAATATAAAATTAATTAACAAAATTAATCCTTACAACTGAAATGTATAAATCATTGGTCTCCTTTTAACTGTACATATCATCACAGAAGCTTAAGCTTAACCAGTGATCTTTTGCTTTAAAATATGGAAATTCCCCATCCTAATTTTAGCCGCTTCCTGATATTTCAGTAGCATCTTTCCTTTACAAGAAACAAAACTCAAGCAAGATTCAATAGTTACTTCTTATTAGAAAGGCTGGTCAGCAAGGAATGGAAAATAAGTATAACATTTGAAACAATGATGTGGTGACAGCACAGCTGATAGTGGCTTAGCTTGCAAGTACAGTGCATATTTCCTGGTGATAAATGTTTGGTTTGTATTCACGACAGTGGCTTAAATTCAACCTTACCAAACTGACATCAGGACATGTCTCTAAGAAAAAGAAATGAGAAAGAAAACTGATTCTTTCACATTATTACAGTAGAGTCTGGATAAGTAGAAGTCGCAGGGACCTAAGAAAATGCTTCCACTTATCAGGACTTCTACTCATCCAAACAGCATAGACAATAGGGAAAATTGCCAGGACTAAGGTCATGTCAACTTAACTGAAATTTGGCTTATCCAAGTTCGACTTAAGTGCTTGAATGTAAATGATCTCTCCATCTCTTACTTAGATTCTTCTCCCTACCCACCAATCTTTAGAGGTTTCTACACCCACATCAAATAACAGTAATGATAAATGTAAGATTTACTCCAGAGAACAAATCTCAGTAGTAATAAATGTAATAGGAGAATACATCTCGATAATGATATATACTGAGTTACTCCAGAGAAAAAAATTACAGTAATAGTTAAGACAACAAATCACAGTAAAGATAAATTTGACAGTTACCCCAAAGACACATCACAGTAATGATGAATGTAACAGTTACTTCAGAGAATAAAGCACAGTAATGACAAAAGTAATAGTTAAAAGAACGAATCGTTGCAAAGAAAAATGTGATAAATTAATAATTACTCCAAAGAAAAAAAATCGAGGTAATGAAAAATGTAATATTTACTCAAAAGAACAAATCACAGTATTTATAAATCTAAGTTACTTAACAGTAATGATATATACTGATAGCGAATAACAATGTAATAGTTACTCCAGAGAAAAAAATCACACTAATGAAAAATATAATAGTTACTCCAGAGAAAAGAAATCACAGTAATGAAAAATGTAATAGTTACTCAAAAGAACAAATCACAGTAATTATAAATCTAAGTTATTTAACAGTAATGATAAAAACTGATAGTGAATGACAATGTAATAGTTCCTCCACAGAACAAATCATAGTAAAGATAAATGTAATAGTTACTCTGGTCTGCCTCCACCAGCTGTCAGCTGTGCAAACTTCTTGACCTTCTCCCGAATGACGCTGATCCCTCTTTCATCTGATGCATTGAGCTCCAGCACTCGATCTTTGAAAAGATCTGGGCTGAAAAACATCAAAACACACACAAATAAATTCTCTACATGCAGTCTTCCTAAGGGAGTATTGGGAAAACTAACAACTGCTGGTACATATCACATATCATCTTTTCGCTGCGCATGATTTCCTGTTGGCTCACATTCATGGCCGTGGCCATTCTCACAAACTATACTATGTTCTAGGGGTGTTATTATATGCGTTTCTCCCCTGTTTTGCCATCTATATACACCGTACGAAAAATCATTTTACGCCTGACACGATAAGAGTGCGCAGGACTCTTTCATGTCAGTCGACACTTTATTTTTGTGCGAGCTAATTTTCTTTTCTATGTCAACTACGTCTCTTATGCAATCATCACTGGTTTGAGAATTAGTGGTATTTTGCGGTGGGTCCTGAAAAGGGCCGTGGGGTCGGGGTTTAGGTTTAAATGTACACACATTATGCTAGTTAAGATGTTTATTAACTAGTTTTTTTTTTTTTTCATCAATAAGACTCAAAACTCAAGATTTTCGATAATTTAAAATAAATACCAAGAAAGCCAGATGGCAACTAAAACCCCAGATCTGGGGTGGGGGGGGGGGGGTGGGACCCAGCACTGGCAGCCCTGAGTTTTGTAACAGATGCTGCAGAAAAACAACGCTACTCTGCATCTTGCTAGCCAATGATGACAGCTGAAGGAAATTCATCTTGTAGTTCAAGTCCCCAAGTAAGGCTGGAATGACTGCGATGAAGAGCCAACGCACAACACTGTTATGCACACACCGCCTGCGGCCGCTGACAAACAATATGTAAAACAGAACATGCTGCTGGCTGCTCACGATGTGAAAGTATGGAACACTTAGAGCGTTGGAAATAACCAAAGTGACAATCCTAGAACACAGAACACTCTTTGGGAACGGCCACAGCCATGAATGGGAGCCGACAGGAAATCTTGCAGGCCGACATAATGCAGGCAGGTTCGTGATATGTACCCAACTGCAATCAGAAGCGGCAAAACAAAATGTAACAGATTAGTTTAAGATCCTGAATAAGCATAACAAATACAAACTCGACATTCTAGAACTAACAAAGAGGAAACCTACATGCCCCATGTTGTTTCAGCAGTGCTGGTATGAAGATCATGGGTTTCAGCAGTGCTGGTATGAATGAAGAATCAACCAGGACATCACACAAGCGAAAAAAAACAAATAAAAAACTAAAAGCTACTGAGGAACACAAGATTAGTCAGAGCTAGCATGCCTTTAACATCTCTAATGTTTCCACTACACTTAGGAACAGCATTAAAGCTTTTATTTTTACTTTCTGTCAAGGCCAAAAGATACATTATAAAATCATTTACACAAAGAAACACTTGAATGTAAACAAAGTGCTGACTTTTCCAATCTTTCCATTATTCTGTTAAACACGTGGACCAATTCTTGTGTTCTGGGAATGATTTTTGTGTTCTTGAGCGTGTTGGTAGAAGCACCAGTTAGTGGCCTTTATCTCCTTCAAAGTAATGGGCTTCTAGCGTTTTTGCCAATAATAAAACACCTCTGGTCAGCACCTTTTATAACAGCCTTCAATTGTCTTATTGCACTAGCTAGCTTGAATCTCTTCTCCCTGTGTGTTCCGATGCCCTATTGGGGGAGAGGGGGGGAGACAGACACGCTGCCTTATTAACAAGCATGTCACAGGAGGCAACTAATTACAGCTGTTTCCTTCAGAGTCGAAGTGAATCTGCCTGAAAGGCGAGGAATCAACATATGCATACCAATAAGCCAAATCTGTAAAATATATGCCCCAACAAAAAAAAAAGTTCTAGAACAAGACTGAAGTCCAGAAGTGGACAAAAAATGAGAACATTCCGCTGGAGTTTAAGGCCAGGCAAAAACGCTAAGAAAAAGAAGCAGTGTTACTGTATTGGTGACTTGTCCTTATTTTCTTAAACAGCGGGAACAAAATCTTAAAAGTATAGAAGGTGTGAAAGCAATGAAATATGTATCGTCAACTATTTATTTGTGATGTGAGTAGCGACATTACAATGCTGCAGAATTTAAATGACTAAGCACAACTTTTCATGGCAATGTCTGCATAGAATCATGGAAGTGCTACAGGAATGATTTGCAGAATTCATCATTTACACTATCCTCTAAAGCAGTGATTCCCAAACTGTTCGCTGTGGCGAACCACGACCTCTCCATAGGGGCGCCACAAAATATTGTAAAAGCTTCATAATTAATTTAACCAAGACAAGAATAGTCATACCTTTACTTAGGTTAGGGCGCCGTGGAAACATTTGAATTTAAAAAAAACGGCGCTGCGTCCAAGAAAGGTTTAGGAAACACTGCTCTAGAGACATCTCCATGATGCACCAAACCATCAATGTCCAAGAACCCAGTCAACATGGTGTTTCATTGCATCTCACTTGTCATGCCTTCTGTACTCAAAAAGAATGATGCTATATGCCACTCATCATCATCAGTTCCCATTATGCCTATTTGCCACTGGACGGACATTAATTCCAGGTCATATCTATACTCACAGCTTTCACCACCAGTGATTTTCAATAAATGTTTTGCCATTTTTTTTAATGGTTAACCATAACTTTATTCCAAATATATTTTGGCACTGCAAAATATTAGCATATGAGCTGACGAACTTCTCTAGAAGAAAGTTGAAAGTATCGAGGCAACTGATAATGATGGTGATAAATTAATTAATCAAAAATAATTTTCACAAATTTGTTCACACATTTCCTAATAGTACTCGGTAACTAATTATGACCTACCCAAAAAGCTGTCTTGAACATGCTAAAATTGTCGATGTTTTACCAGTTCCAGGAGGACCATAAAACAGTAAATTGGGCAACTGAAAAACAAAAATATTTTCTGTTAAATCACTTTGTTGATGACATGTTTCAGACTGTCCCTTTATCCCTTGTGAGGAGTGGGTAGCCACATGGCTAGGCTTTGATGCCAGAGACCCAGGTTTAAATCCTCAGCAAAGCTGGAGACATTTTTTCTGGTGGGGAAAAATAAAATCCTAACCTGCGATCCGTGGTGTCAGCACTAGCCATGTGGTTTTTAAATCCTCACGCCACCCCCCCCTGCCCCCCTCAATATATACAGCAAAAGTAGTAAATACAGACAGTATAGTTTTTTTTGTAAAAAAAGGGGGGGGGGGGGGGGGGGGGTCTTTGGGAAAGAAACCCCTTGGAATTCCGGACACACACAAAAGTCAGTTTAATAAATAATTATTTTACACAGACTACTAACAATTGTTTTAAAATTTAACAATGCATATATTTTTAGAGAACATGAAGGAGAGTAATCAACAGACTTGAACGGAGTGAAGAATGAAATCGTTTTCTTCTTCACGTTAGTTTTCGTATGCTCAGATCAGACCATCAGGTGGACTGCCTCTATGAACTGGTATGTCAGCAGCAGGTTCTTCATGGTTCCCTATAGCTTGCTCTGCACACTTTGCTCTTGAGGGCAGGTGTCTTTTCGAAGCTGTATGTAGAGTGGGCAGGTCTGCAGAATGTGCACACTGTGGGGACTGTACAATCTTTTTTTTTGTTTTTGTTTTGCATGTGGTAGTCGAGTCTGCAGTTTATTGTTCATAGATGGAAAACTGTTGTAGGTTGCTTTCTGTTTAGTCTGCTGATGCAGTCTTGTGGATGTTTACTGTTTGTTTATTCTCTCCACAATTCCTTGTATTTTCCCTTGATGGGTGTTTTGATTTCTGGTAATGACAATGAATGGGTATGTGTTGTTTCTCCTTTGTTCCATTTTTGCAAGTCTGTCTGCTAACTTATTTCCTGGTATGCCGCAGTGAGCCGGGATCCACTGGAGAACGATTTCACTGTTTTCTGAGAGTCTGCTTATCTTGCGGGTCAGTTCTCTCTCCATGTTGTCTTGTGGATCCCTCTGAGTTGGCGGGAGGACTGACATGCAGGCACAAAGGAAAAAATTTCGCTGTTTTTAATTTTTCTTTCCTCAAGCACTTTGGTTTGCTCTGAAGTTTGTTGAGAGTCCTCCGGAGGTGCATGATGCTTGTACTGTAGTCCCATCCTGCAATATAATGACAAATCCAGCTCCTGTTTTTTTCTGCTCCCTCCAATGATCCATCGAATGAAATGAATTTTATTCTCCTAGGCCTAGAAAAATATTTAATGGGTGAACTCTTACTCTGACCCAGTGACCTCGTCAGAATTCTAACACCAAGGTTTTGGGCAAATTACAACATCAAAATGGCTTTAAAACAGCAATTTTTTCACACACAAAAACATCCCTCAAAGTTATTTTTAGTAAATATATTCATATCCTGACCAGGTAAATGCTGCACAGGCAGTATAGTAACACAATGAATGGCCCTTAACTTGACTTCTCAGGGACAGGCCATTGTAAAAATGGCAGGTAAGTGATGTTTTCAAGATTGAGCCACTGCCGGATTTGTAGCTTCTCAGGGCATAGGTGTATGTACAAGCAATACTGGTCCATATCACTGTTTCATTACCAGAACTCCATTGTTTGATAAGGATGTGAAGAATCCTAAACAAAGTAGGTCAGAGCAATGATACATTTTCTATGGATCTTGTGGAAAGAGCAAATCAAATTAAAGTAAATCTACAGAACTTGGATTGGTCAAACATTGAGAAAACCGTATAATATAACTAAAGTGCCCTTGCACTGAATTCACAAGGCCCAAAAATAACAGAGACAGAGTTGAATAAGATGAGAACATTGAATGAGCTGCAAAAATGGTAAAGGGCTTGGCACAAGTTAGTTGAGGGTCATAGAGCATAAGGTCATAGTTTATGCTCTAGTGGGAGATAAAGTAGCGTATTTTTGGGGGTCAATCGTTACAGGTTCTATAAAACTGGAGATGTCTGCCCACTAATGGAAGAGGTAGTAACTGATTATACTTCAACAGGTGCAGTAGAAAAAACTCACAGAAAGAAGTGCCAGGTGATGAGGCTACGGGTTTCCTACTCACATGGTGTCAACTATACCAACTGTCTCTTTATTAGTCAGATGATGTCTTATAGAAGGTGAACAGACACCCTGCTTAATATAGTATTAGAAATATTTTTTTTTAAACAACTATAAACATTTCTCTCTCCTTGCTGTATTTCAGTTCAATATACAGTAAAACCTCCAGAAGTCGACCACCCAAGGCAGCTGTAGCAATCCGGTCAACTTATGGAGGTGATCAACATTCAGAATGAGGCCTATTGTAGTGATACTACACATACTTCTTTAAACAAATTATACCGGAGAATACAGTATCATATGAAATTATACAAAACCCTTTTTTTTTTAAAAATCATAGTCCATCATTCTTTCTGAATTAAGGAGTCAACTCCCCCCTTTCCCCTGTAATTAGTATTGATTATGAGTTTAGCGATATGCAGCACTTACATCTGCACCTTCAATAGATTTCTTAAGGACAGAAATGACTTCATCTTGATATGCAACATCCTCCACAGTCTTTGGCCGACTAAAATGATGAAAAGTATATATACATTTCACAGGTAATTTACACATTAAATTACAGGACTTTAATAAAATGCCCTACATCCCTTAAAATACAATTTATGCATAAAAAAAAAAAAAAACAATTATAATAAACATTATTATTTTATTTAACTTAATCCATGAGTTCAGCTATTATAGTGGGGGCATAGTGCATAAATAGGCTTAAAAATATACTATAGATTATATAATATAATTACTATATAAAAAGTTATATTATGTAGTAACAAGTTTGATAAATTTCTGACATAATCCACAGTGACTAATAACGGAAGGTTATTTATGTATATGCTGTTGTCGCGTATTTCTAAGATAATTCCTAATACCCCAGTAAAAAATTTATTTAAACTAGAAGTAAAAATACATCATTCATATTAATACTGAAATGAGGGATAATCAAACGATCAAAAGTGATTAAAATTCGTAAATAACTATAATTGAAGGTAAATGATAGCTACTAGAAGATATAAACAGTGCCGCAGTAAAATTTGATTAAAAAATATAGGAAATAAGGTGAGATCATTAAAAGTATTAAGTTATATAAAGTGTATTCATAATATAAACCAGGACCTTATTATTTATGATATGTCACTATTATGGCTGATTAAGAAAATTCAAATTTCATTAATGATTCTTCATATTATGGTATATTTAATATTTAAACGGAATTAACGCAATATTATATTTAATTTTTTAAGAAATCTTTTTATTATTTTTATTTAAAAAATTTTTTTGAGGGTCTAGCATGTGTAAACTATTAAATATTTTTAATTGTAATCAAAATTTGCCGTGCACAATCAATATTAAAATAAATATATATAGTATATATTTTAAATTATCTATACCATAAATAATTAGTTATATATAGTACATTATAATACAATATAATATACTATCCCAGAGAGTTTCAGCTATATAGGGGGCATAGGAATCTAAGATAGGCTTAGGTGAGGCACGGCACACAAAAGTTTGGAAAACACTGGTGTAGTTTCTAAGGTAAGACATCCTATACTGGAAATTACCTATGGGTAGAAGATGCTGAGGGAGCCACCATAGTGGCTAGATGCTCGCCTGCAGATCAGAAAGTCGTGGGTTCGAATTTGAAAAGAGCTGGACTGTTTTCAAAAAAACCTTGGCTTCTAGGCCTTAAATGGGTACCAGGTAAAGTCCTGGGAGGTAAAGATGGCTAGCTTGATGCTGACCACATCATCCATCGAGTGCTGATTGGTCTAGTACTATACCAATTCACCTGAAGGTGTGGAAACAAGTCATTTACTTTAATTGTATACTTCAAATTACATATGGGTAGAAGATGCTAAGGACAGCCTTGTATAAAGATAAGCACAAGCAGGACATGAATGATACAAGTATTGAGGTTGATTTGTGGGAACAGGATGCAATGGACGTGTTGTATGGTGGGGGAAATCAGGAAGGGAATAGGGATATAATTGTATAGACAGCCTAAGCGTCAGAAAACTCCCCTAAATACACACAGTCTGAAATCCCATGTTCACACTGTGTTAGACTACTTAAATTGACTGTGTCTTGTCACTGTGCAGTTTATTCTTCTTTTCCCCCTTTATCCTGTGCTATTTTTTCATAGATCATAGATGGAATCCATTTAAGTAACTTTGGCATCTCACCAACTTTCTTTCGACTTAGAGCTTTTTTTAGTTGTCCATTTTTCCTCAGTCCATTTTTTCCCATTTAAGTGTTATAGGGTGATTGTCCTCTTTTCCTCATGACGTTCCCAATGATTGTCCACTTTTCCTTATGACATTCCCAATGATTATCCGCTTTTCCTCATGACGTTCTCAATGACTGTCCGCTTTTCCTCATGATGTTCCCAATGACTGTCCGCTTTTCCTCATGGCGTTCCCAATGACTGTCTACTTTTCCTCATGGCGTTCCCAATGACTGTCTACTTTTCCTCACGACATTCCCAATGACTGTCCACTTTTCCTCATGATGTTCCCAATGACTGTCCACTTTTCCTCATGATGTTCCCAATGATTGTCCACTTTTCCTCATGATGTTCCCAATGACTGTCCACTTTTCCTCATGGCGTTCCCAATGACTGTCCACTTTTCCTCATGGCGTTCCCAATGACTGTCCACTTTTCCTCATGACGCTCCCAATGACTGTCCACTTTTCCTCATGACGCTCCCAATGACTGTCCACTTTTCCTCATGATGTTCCCAATATATCATCATTTTTCTTACTACCCATCACAAACAATAACTATCTAATCCTCATAGTTATTTGTAGTAACTTGCCTAAGACAGAAGAGCTCTTCTTCTTCATTCAATACTTTTTCTTCTTTTGAGCATAACTATGAGGTGCCAGTTTAATGCTGAGATAAAACATTTGTATCTTTTGGCAGATACATCCAGATTTGGTGTAAATGAAACAAGGTTAGTTTTCTTGTGAAGTACAGAAAGAGTTTACAAATGTATGCTGAGATCAATGCAAAACATGAACCTTACTATTTCTCAATCCAAGGAACAATTTTTGGTTTCACTTCTTTTGTCTTAAGAGCTTTGCTTCCTTCAGACGATGTCTGAGATGACTGTGTTTTATCCTTTGCTTGAGCAGCATTCCCTCCTTTTAGAAATGCTTGCATCTTTCTGTATTTAAAATACAAGAAAAACAAACTTGACAAAGGCTTGGGAAAAAAACATCTGCAGTTTTAAACAGTCTTTTTTTCCTCTGTGTTTACCAGCCATAAACTTCGGCCACAAAATGAATTCCATTTCTGGACTTCGGTCTTATGCAAAAAGTTGAGTTTTGTATGCACATCCATTAATCCATTTTACAGTTCTGGCTTACTTGTATGCAGACTGTCAGTTCCTCACCTCTAAAAAGATGTACTTCGACTATAGCAAGACAACAAATTCACAAGTGATCAGCACTCACTTGAAGCAGCAACAACTTTATGGGAACAAATTCATTATTATGCAGCCCTTGCTTTTAGGTACATAGTAGTAATAATATTACAGAGGGCTGCATGAGTGATAAGAAGAGATAAAATCAGGAATGAAGTAATAAGAGCAAAAGCTGACAAAGAACTAATTCTAAATTACATACAAAGACAACAAATCAAATGGTTTGCCCACTAAGAGAAAATGCCTTATGATACCATAAATACTGAAGAGGAAATGGATGAAGAAAGATCATTATGCAGACCAAGCACAAAAAGGAAAGAACATAAGAGAAACTCTATAACAGCACCATGCCAGAAATAGAAGCAGAAACTATTATCTCCATGATAAATAAAGATTGTACAGTCCCCACAGTGTGCTTGTTAAACAGGACCACAACCACCTGAGCACATTCTGCAGACCTGCCCACTCTACCTGCAACTTCAAAAAGACACCTGGCCTCAAAAGCAAAGTGTGCAGAGCAAGCTATGGAGAACCATGAAGCTGCTACTGACATGCGAGTTTATAGAGGCAACCCATCTGATGGTCTGATGTGAGCATACGAAACCAAACACAAAGAAGAAAAAGAAGATATCAGAAGCGGTAAAAGAGGAAGTGAAGAAGATGGGTTGTATCATTCACATCTATTAGCCACAGTTAGTCTATTTTGTTTAACACAAATTCTTGATAAAATAGTTCCTTGGTATTTGCTCAGTTATTTCTTACTTTATCAGAAATTAATTACTTTAAATTAATTGGTTGCCATTTTGAAATATTAATTTGTCTGATAATTAAATGTTATCTGATAATTAAATTTTAAAGCCACCTGTGTTGGTTCCGGGGTCCCATTGTAGGGAAAACAAGAATAGACCCACTGCCTGCCCAAAAGCATGTCGTAAGAGTTGACCAATTGAGAGCTTCTTTCAAAGTCAGAGTACATCTGCCTGAGAGGCAAGGAACCAACAGTTTGCATGCAAATGAGTCAGACTTATGAAACAGTTGTACAACACTCAGGTTTTTGAACAGGACTAGAGTCCAGAAGAGGACAAACAACCAGAACTTTCCGCCGGAGTTTACAGCTGGTGAACACGAAGAAGAAGAAATGTTAAAGCAGCAATGTGACCTGAATGAAAGCTCCATCCACCAACCTACAATAGTATATGGTTATTAATGTCTGCCTCTTACAGTATAATGGACAGCCATTAAGAACAATAATGTGATTATATGACAGGATATGGGCTATCCTTCGAATAACGGTCCCAAATTATTGAGGCTGAGAAAATACCCTAATAGGGCCTCAATGTTTGTGACTGTGCAGCCAAAAAGCTTCGCTAAATATTCAGTAAACAACGTGCGACTAGTGCCGCCGTGGTAACGCATCTGCATAAGTTCCATCCATAACCCTACAATCGATAGTTCCGTGGTTCCACTGTTGTGACAGATTCTGGTGGCGGTATCATAATTGCAATACTCCTTGCCCTAACCCTAAACCTAGGACCCAGGAGAGAAGTTAAACCTAGGACCCAGGAGAGAAGTTAAACCTAGGACCCAGGGGAGAAGTTAAACCTAGCACTCAGTGTCGGAGCTGTTGTTATTCAGAGGAGTGTTTCCTGTGGTATGTGGTATATTCGCCGGAAAGAAGTCTGCAATTTACAAACGATTGAGGCCCTGTTAGGGTCTTTTCTTAGCCTTGATAATTTGGGATAGCCCAGAATATGTAAAAACATTATTATTTATTCTATTGGGTATCATTGCCACGAACATAGTGATAGAAATAGTTTTATTTACATAACTGACCATAAAACAAAAATACCTAGGCTTAGAAATTATGTACAGACTTGAATGAGGTACCGTTGGATTGCATTTTTCAGCTATCCTCCGAACTTCGGGAACAAAAGATGGCAGCCGCAAAATATCCTTTTGAGCCTCAGTCACGTGTCTTAATATGCGGTTTTCCGGTGACTTAATTTGCAGTTTTCCCACGGTTTTCCAGCAACTACCGCCACGAGTTCCTCCACGCCGTTGAGGCTAAACTAGATGGCTAGGACCCACGAGCAGCAGCTTCCGCATCTCCTGCAGCTTTGCTCGTGAGTCCTAGCCATCTAGTTTAGCCCCAATCCATGCTGCTCATGCGGCGTGGGGAAACTCGTGGTGGCAGTCGCCGGAAAACAGTGGGAAAACTGCAAATTGGGTCGCCGGAAAACCGCGGTGGCGGTAGTCGCCGGAAAACCGCAAATTAAGTCAGTTGACTGACGCTCAAAAGGATATTTTGTGGCCGCCATCTTTTGTGCCCACGGTGTTTGTGGCTTGGCGTTGCGAGTCCGACTTATAATCCAACGTACCGCGATCAAAACCCACTGCTGGCTACGTGGATTTTTATCATGGTATGGGGCGTCGCAGGTCAACCCAGCCTAAAATGGGTACCAAGATGGGCTGTCCTGGGGAAGTAAAGACAGTCGGCGTAATGCTGACCACATTACCCATTCAATGCTGAGTGGTCTGTAAAAATATGGGACGCACTTCTCATTTACCCCATGCGGCTAAGGCGTGAAAAGGGATCTTTATTTACTTTACTATCTTTTGTGCCTGAAGTTCGGAGGAAAGCCTATTTTTCAATAACCTTCCAACTATGCTAGTTTAAGTTGAATTATTTTCAAACAATAATGAACATTTGACCAGAGTTACTAGAGTATGCATTAATCCCCCCACTAACCTTAAATTTAAATAATTATTATAATTTATAATACGTCAGAATGACGGCGGTCACAGTGAATACAAAACATATGGGTGATAGTTTCCTTTTTTAAAGATAATGATAAATAACGATTATCTTACTTTTTAACATCGTCACTAATTACAAATAATCATAATCAATGATGATAATTAAAAAACAAAAAGATGAAGAATTACAGAATTAATCAATGATCATCTCAAATGCATTATTGAAATGCGACTAGCCACTAGGCACTAGCAGTCAGGCGTAAAAGACTCTCTTTTCTATTTAAAACTATAATTTTTTAAAATGTGCAGGTTTTAATATATTGAAACAAAATGGCAGACTGATTAATAACATACACAGAAGTTTTCAATTTCAAGTTCCAGACTTGAACAACAGAAATGATTTTCCTCGAAAATCTTGGCCGGAAGTCAACGTTATATTTCGCGCCAGTTAGCAGTTAATGAAACTACCACACAACTCTATGTTGTGTTTTAGTTTATATTAAAGATCATCTTTCTCGCATGTCGGACATGGCCATAAGTGCTTCGATCTCCCCCTTAGTATGTCTCCGTGTGTTTTTAGACTACCAACTCTTATTCTGTTCTGACTGATGTAGCGACAGGTAGCTACCGTATGGTTTTCCTTTTTCGCTGCTCCAGTTGGTACACCCATGGTATTCGGTCTTTTTAATGAAAAAATAATTCTCCACGAAGCCTTTAGTCTCTCGTATGACATTGACGATGTCTCTCCTGTCCACAGATGGCCCATTCCTGATAGTTGCACTGCTAGTCAGGACGTCTGCTCTCTCATTGCCTATCACATCAGCATACCCTGGGACAAAAAAAATCAAGGTGATTTTGCGAAACACTGAATGCTGTATCAGATGGAGCCACAGTTTTCGTTTTTGCCCCGCCTTGATCTTCTGTAGCATGCTCAGTAAGTCGCTGAGAAAGCATACATTGGTGAATTCCTGAGGTTTCAGCCATTCTGGCGCATTTGTGACAACCATGCCCTCCACTGTCATGCTGCTGGTGGCAGAAGCAAAGGCCCCACTATTTAGTTTATGGGTGGCGAAGAACACAGTATTTTCTCAACATTATGTTACCAGTGCCAAACGAGGACAGTGTCAACAAAAGGAAAAATTAAAACAACATACATTTTTAGTCTACTACGAATCCCAAATGCAACTAGAAAAGACAGGATCAGAAATAGTGATTTCAGCAAACAGCTGGGGAGTGAACCAGTACTTATATATGATTATCAATCGTTCAACTGGAGAATTACATCAAGACCAGATCAAGACCTAATAATCACCCTTCAGGTCCACGTCGAGTTAAGAGTCAGGTCTAAAGTCACAAAGAATGTTTCGAAGTCGAGTCCCCAGTCAAGTCATTTCTTGTGTCATTTGCTAGCCGTGCATATCTGTACCGATAGCTCTGTGCTGAGCGGTAGACTAAGTGCATATGGGATCCTAGCTAGCTTGGTCGCGTAGTGCAACCAAGCCTGGCATATGATATCGGGGGTGGATTATGTTAAGAAAAGTGGAAACAGTCATGCTCCGTGCAGAGCGGCACGCATCGCTTCAGAGGTCCCGGGTAGTTTGCGTCATGCTGGTGTGTTGGGAAACGAGCAGGCAGATAAACTAGTCCTGGGTTTGCCGACGATGACTAGCAGATACAAAGTGGCACAGGTCAAGGCTTACCTGAGGGTATCGGCAGCCGTTAACCACCCATTGCACAAAGCTATACAAGACACAAAAGGATCGCGTCTCAAAAGAGGGCGCTTTTGGATGGCAAAGGCTGAGGATTTAATCCAGCAGGTATGTGACCTAGACGTGATCAGTCACGGAAAAGAATGGACGCATACACCAGTAGACATGCATGGCATCTCTAAGGTTGTCATCACACTCGGAAGGTACAGCAGGGATCAAATTCCTGCTGCCGTAGACACAGAAGTAAGGGAACTGATAGATCAGCATTCAGA